CTATCTTATCTACTTTCGTTATCCATTGAAGTAAGAACACATTTTTGATGGAACTAAAATGCAACAGTATTCACATTTCATGATCGAGGTAGAGACTGTCGGTGCAAAACCAAGAGTCTCGTAGGAGAACTTGGTTTCCCTCATTTTTAGTCGGCACAGTCACTTTACACATCCCAGTTGCAAGACTGGATGTTTTGACTACCAGCTTCTCGAATGAGTGCTCACTTCTTAACAAGTCTGGTCCATGTTATTACTTCATACTCGTTGCATTGTCATGTGTTCACACTATGCACTGGGCGTTAGTTGATCCTGTCCAGCATCCTTTTGCCCCGTATTTGCCACTGACGTGTCAAAGCACTTTGAAAACTTTGCTATCGTTTGTTCACAGTTTATACCCCATCCGCTTGGACGAAGCAGGCTGTTTACCCAGACGTTTGCATGCTCGAAACAATGGTTGCATCTGTATGTTGGTTTCCGGTTCCTTTTGTTTCCTCCCTACAATCAAAAATCAACATACTGTCGACCTGGCATGTTTCTGGATATGAAATTCTTATGCAAAACAATAATCACTGGATTATTTGTTTCTACAGCATGATCGAAAACATAATTTATGTTTATGATAAAGTGCAAATCACAAATCTGCTATCTCGCTAAATTTTATGTAAGTATTTCACTTCTTCTCAATGAACGACTATTGTTAACCCCTGGACTCTATCGAATTGCGGAACAACTTTCAAGCGTCGATCGTAGCTTAGTTTTCTGGAATAACGTGGTCCCGAAATTCCTATCGCTCCAGGCTTTGCCTCTTCGAATGTGCGGTGTGTAGCCTGTCACAAAATCATCATTCACTTGTGAACCTCGATCTTATCCGCTTCTGCTTCGTAATAGTATCATTTACACCACGGAACATTTTCAGTACGGAGCTATGTGACCATTTCTGAGCTAACACTTTTCCTATCCGTTCACCGTTTGCATCATCTCCCTGGGTCATGTGCCCATCAACGCTTCGAACCCTTGTCAGTAGAAAACCAGTTTATTCCTGATTGATTTTCTATTATTATTCCCCGTGTCCCACCCCCACCACTGAGCAGTTTTCTTTGTTTGTTTATCCCGGTGTTTTAGGCTCACGCATGGCGTAATCCTTTGAATCAGTTTCACATCCTTCATTATGAAATATTGGTTTAATGTGAAACATTCTTGGCTCTTCCGGTCCGAGAGAGTAACCTCATTGAAACTAGTAAAAAAACAATGTACACATTGAAGGCATTTTGCTTGCGCAGTATTTTTATCTTCAGATGCTTTATTGATGTTGGTGATTTCTCCGAGCTGGAAGTATTGTTCACAGACGTTTAGTAGCCATGCTGGGTAACATCTTCAGTGCTTCTTCGGGAATGATGGTGCCTAGCTTGGCTACGAAACGTCAGCGAACAACACTTCCAGCTTGGAAAACTCACCGACACCAACATCCGCATCCCGAACTACAATCATTCCACATCATTCAGATGGTGTGTTTGTGTTCACTCCCAGCTATCCGACGCTGTACGTATTTTCCTTAGCAAAAGATCATTACCTTCAAATTAGAGCAGTTTATTGGCTCATAAACCTGGATGAAAGCTAAATGATGTGTAAATGACCTGATGTTGTATATTGAAGGATGAATATATTTTCAAACCATCAAACAGTGTGCAAAACGTTTTGAGGCCAGTAGCACACCGAGGGCTGTGAACAACATTTCAGTTTACCCGCATTGAAGTCATTTTCTGCTGCCATCTTTGAATGTTCCGACGTTGAATGAATGGAACAATGTTAGAGAATCTACCCACATATGACGCATGAATAGATTTTCACATTTTCACTCGCTACCAGCATCATCTCTAAAAGAACACGGAGCTGGTTTTCATTGCTCACCTGTTTTATTGTTCTCTAATACGTGGAGATTGAAATTAGGATTGAAATTTGGGTCAACTGTCCTTATCGAAGGAATGTAAATACAAAAAGCCGTGATTAATCAGGACTCTCCCTCAATATCACGAATTTGAATAGAGGTCCCAAACACGGGTTTGAGTGATAAATGATTCCAGTAACAGTTTGCTGTATTTCTGCACCTATGCAAGACATTTCCGGTGATTTTTTAGTCGGAGAAGTAGGGAAATTAATCGAAAAAGGAAATTGGAACACGCAGTTCAGACAACCAAAGTTATTTTAACCAGACGGAATTTCTGCATCCTGGTTAAATAACAGACAACGCTTTTTCAAGAATGCTGTTCATGGCAACTTCGGGATTGGAAGTCTGTTTTGCACTCCGCTGGAGGTAGCTAGCAGGCATTACGTATGCTTTAGCATTTCATTATTCCTGAGTTTTGTCCGTAGTGAGTGTCGTAAATCACTTCCACAGAGCAGACAAACAAAGACTTTTCTGACATTGAACAGCAGTAGTGTCCGTCTGATACCGGAATTGTTGCCATCATTGAAATTAGGTAAATTTTTTGTGCGTTTCAAAAGGCCACACACCACTCATCTCAACATTAGGGAACTGGCAGGTTTTCAAAAGGTCATCGGTTTACCAAGCGGTTGAATTAAAAGAAACTAATAATAACAGGCATTACTTAGCAATGAGTTCTAAATCAAAAGCAATCGGTAACCAGTTCTGCACGGCAAAGTTTCAATGCAAATACCGAGATGACCAACAGAATTCAAATGAGCTTTGAGCATCTTATACGCATTCATAAATAAAGCGATGTCGTTTGTGTACTTTAGGATAAAACAGCCCATATTTAGGGTCCCAGTAAATAGAAAAATGTTAGAGGCTATTCGGTATTCAATATTTTGTCTACGATTAAATCGAACACAAATGGCTGAATAGAACACCCTTGAAGGACACCGCCACTGGTTTTGAACTAGTCCTCATTTTTACCGTAGACCACATGCAGTTAAACGTTTATGCATACAATAATTTGAGTGGAATAATAAGCTTCTTGGCCAAAATCGTCGGAAAAAGCGGATATAAGGGAACCTTACAGCGAAAGGAGTCAGGTGCACCGTTTGAATCACGGAACAGAGAAATTGTTGGTCAACAGACATGTGTAGTGTCTTCAGCAAGACAAAAGATGAAGATCCTACCAACATTGATATTCTGTCAATGATTCGAACCCATGCTCATGGATATTGGTTTCTCTTTAAGACATATAACATTGAGGTATTCAATATTCGGGAGCGAATACATTGATGACATTCACCGCTCCATCTATTTAGTGATGGTTTGTCCAGTCACCTAATAATTATTTTTAATATAAATGATCGATAGTCTACTTTCATAATACCTTTATTTGAGTTCCCAAATAGGTTTTGGAAACCCTAAACTACCCATCTATCTGCAATCCAGAGAGGTACTTCCCGTCCATGAACTGTCTTTCACTCGCCCATTTACGTGTGCATGTTCACTTCCTGACATCACGCGTATCAGTTATCACGGTTACCTTTTCATTCTAATTCGGCCATCATTTTCACTAATATCAACTCTCTCAAACACTCCCGTGAGAATACTAATGGAGACAACTTTGATTTCTCCGCGACATCTTGATATTCGTGATGGGCTGAACGTGTTCTGCATCGTCCATCCGATACTGCCGGACAATGAAGAAACAAATCTACTACCAGGAGATAAGCACAAAACAACGATATGTAAGATTGTCAGTCAGATCACACGTCACAGATATGATGGAACAGTCGAATAGGCTATAAGAAGGTTTGATGAACGGGAGTAAAGTATGTCGTTCCAATACTAAAGCAGTTGTTTGACTTTCGTGTACTGCAGCAGCAGGAGAATGAGTTACGAATATTTGAGGATAGATATTCTTGGAGTGCAGCTTTTACCGTGGTAGCTGGTTTTTGGAAGACCATTAGTTGTTAGACTATCACCTCAATTTAAGACAGGAAAGACTTTGCCAAATGACTGAGTCATGCAAATTGCCCTAGGCCATTTTAAACTATAGTTCAAGAAAAGGGATGATGTAGCCGAGCATTCAAAACAGATATCCTCTTTCATTATAAATAAATGTTTGTCCTAATACTACCGTAAGCTTTTCAATGAATTTTACTCCTTTCTTTCCCCTCTGGTCAACTAAGTAGCTCAAACCAGGGCCACGAAGTGATCAGTTGAACAAACTATGTGTATGTATATCACTGTTTAAGGGAAACTTTCAGGAGCAAATCAATAAGCAAAAACACAGAAGAAATCAGCTTGGGGATAAAAAGCAGAAAGGGAAACTTTCTGTTCAAACCCTATGCTGTACGGTGAAACAGAAATAGTCTGTAAGAAATCTTCACTCTCCTTTTGGAGATGAATGCAGCCTAAAACTTACGGTTCGGTTGGTTTTCCTTTCTCCCACGCTTGCATGCAATGCCTTAACTTTAATTACGCTCGGGCACAAATAACATTACACACACGCAGATCTCCAGCAGTTGCGGTAGTTGTTACCCAAAGGGGTCAGCTAAATTATCTTTTCAATTGCTCCATCCAATGACCATGCCGTTGCTCGTAAATATGTCCACTTTTACCAAAGGTCTCTTACTACTTTCAACCTTCCTGTTTTCCTTCTATTTTTTACCCCAATGGGCAGCCAAAACACAGCACCCAAAAGCGTCGCACAGAAATGCATGCTTACTGGTTGTTTAAACTGAAATTGAAACTGAAAAGGTATCTTCACGAACCGAGACTCTCGGCCTACCAGGGGTTCTTTGCAACGCTTAACTCCCCTGGACAGACTGAAAAATCCTAACTTTCAATCTCCAAACACTTTGTGCCAGGTAATAACAATAACAAGCTAAACAACTATTTCCTCTGAGTATATTATTAATGTGCAGAATTCTGTACAATTCGCTTGTTCTGCTAACGGTCGGCAGAACTCAATGCACAAGTTTCCGGTGGAGGAGAACACTTACCATCGACGATCTACGGAGACAGCCAGACTGAATAGTTTTGGATCCAAGCTGCTCACGCGTCAATGAATTTCGCACAGTTCTGTCCATATCTTCTGGTGCGTTTGGTTGTTCAACATGACAATGAGAATAGTTATACAGATGCCGTTATTTCTATTTTTTATTCTTGGACAATACTTTTGCTCCTACGTGACCACCATTTTTTTGTCGGTCAGAAGCATGTCAAAAGCCACATCCTCAAATTTTACATTCATTCGAGTGGTACGTTTGCTACGCATGTGAATGAGTGGTCGTATCAGACGTATGTGACATTTGATCTCGTGTGCCTGGGACGAACTGAAGTGTAACACAGCACCATCATTTTCGTATGTATCCTCTAAATCGGGCGCACTGAAAACACTCACCAACTTGGTATCGGCAAATCGTGCACATCCTTTTCGCACCAGTCCACTGGAGCGAACGATTTGCAATAGATCCAACCGGTCACATACAGCTTTTACCACATCCGGACCGAATAAATACCCCAGACCGGCTGGATTCTGATCCCAACCCGTTGTTCCCTCGTCCGGTTCAGACCAGATCAGATGCGTTGTGAGTGCATGGGGCTGAATCTCGTTCGGTCGGGTGATCAAACGAAGAAATTGTCCTCGTAGTTCATTTACACTGGTTAGGTCCGCATATTGAATGGAAGGAGATAAACCACTGTGCACGCACAAAATCTGATCCTCGATGATTGCAGCCACAGGCAAATAAGTGAACACCGTACTGATCTCATGCCACAGACGTCGGCTGAAGCGTTTTACACATTGATCGTACTGACCGTATAAACGACCTATAGTCGGACATTCACGCCGACCACGAAGCAAATAAATAGATTGTGGATAGAGCAGTTTGTATGCAAACAGCAACGCTAACGTTTCAATTCCCAATGGATTCTGCGTGGCATAATTCCCAAGGAAAAGATAGCGTTTTCCTGGTGGATGTCCAAATTCATTAAATATACGCAACAGGTGGACGTATTGTCCCAAAATATCCCCAACCACATAAATTGGTGTTTCTAGGTCCAGGTCAATGCAGGCGGGTTCATTAATTAGAACATCAGGTAGTAGATAACATAAGTTGCACAACTCATATTCCGTCAGCTGAACCAGTTGACCTTTAAGTACTTGGCGATCAGTAAGTCTCGGTATCAAAGTGAGAACAGATTGCATGATTCGACGTCGCATCTGATGTGTGAAGCATAATCGCACAATACCGTTTGATGAAATAGACGTCATTATTAGAAAACTACGAACTGGGGAATGGGATTACTGATTCTGGTGAAGCCACTTGCAACAGATTCAGCAAAGCGTGAGCAAGTATTGATTCTTCAATTTGAAACTGAGTGTCTTGGGTTCCCAACCATAAAATCATCCAGAAGCAACGCATTTCAGTTTGGTGGAGATGAAGCCTTCAGTGTTGCTGATAGCACGATCGGTTAAACTTAAGAAGAAACAATTACTCCTTATTGAATAAATGTACAACATCGGTACAAACAGCATTCAAGAATGGGTCATGTTCAACTGTTCTAGTCTCAATAAAATTATTTATTTTCACTTTCAACCTGAACTCAACATTCCACTCTTCCTTCTATTCTTTTATCCAAATGGGCAGCCCAAAGACTGAAACCAAAACTACCCCACGAAAGGAAAATGGTTAATCGTTGTAAAAATGAACTGAACTGGTACGTAAATGGAATCATAAGGTGCTGCTGCATTTTGTAAACGCTGAACGCCAAACCCATCGCCACCCCTGCAGACGCTGATGGGAAACCCGGACTACCAAGATAACCGTAAACTTCTCGACAAAGCTATCTTGTATAGAACTGCATATTTTATTCTTGAGTCGATGAAACCTTCTAATACCTTTAAAGGGAAACGAAAATTTTTGGAATGAAAGCTCCCAAAAACGTTTCTTGTTTTTTATGTCCAAAACGCTTCGGTAAATCCACTTTTCCCGTTGAATTTATTCAGATGACTACCAGCATTTTATTTGTACTTTACATACGGATGCAAAAACTATTTAAACAGTGATTAGGTAGATAGCAAAATGGTTATGTTCAGGATTAAATTCTTCCGGTTTAATATTGTGATCCCTCTGCAGTAAACGTTGGCACTCATTTGGTGTATACCTGAGGGGTTGAGTTGCCTATGCACATGATCGACCAGCCTTGTCGGATTCCCACTGGCCTAATCAAGCGATATGCTTGTGTTCTACAAGGTTTAACGTAGGGTTATACCTCCAGTCGGTAAACACGCAGAGCTGTTCATTTAACATAGCTGCAAAGTAATTGCTATCCAGATTTTCAATGCATCTTTACTTCGTTTCAGGTCTGATGTACTCCCTAAGACACCGAACCTCAAAACAAAAGTTACAGATTTTCTATTGCCGACCTATAAATTACATGCTAGCCTTGATAGCTAGTTTCTAGAGTGTCTTACGTAACATCATCTTTTTTTCTCACCTTAGCTCACAACTTTCATCAACATTTTATTTAACCCACCTTTCTACTGTTTTTCTCCATTGGATCATTGTCTTTTCACCCCTTCTGAAACTTCAGTATTCACTATCGCTAGCCTTGTCACGTTCGCTTGCACTTCTTGCCTCGCCTCTGTCGTGGTTATAAACTGAGCCGTGATCGACCAATCTGATATCTATCTATACTATGAACGCCTTAAGCCGGAACGGGCTGCTGAGTACAGTATTCAGCTGCGGTTCATTTACACTTGTAACCAATGTGACTGTCACACGGTAAACCGTGGTAGCAACTCAGGCCCATTGACACACCCTCCAAAACGGTCACTGCATCTACAGTAAGGAAGGCCGACGGTTTGGTTCTGTACGTTCAATGCCCGTGAAAAATGAGTCACCGTTATCACTCTGTTTAAGCTGGACTTAATGGACACCGACCAGGCTCGTTTGAGTTGGTTGTCGCGTGCTTCCTTTCACCTATAAAACTTTCTCTAGGGGTTAGAAATGAATGAATCGAATTGGCTGAAACGTGAAATTCGCGGAATGGTTGAAGCCAGTTTCATCAATACAGTCATATTTCGCATTTAACTCAATTACTTGTGAGTAGTGTTGCGGGATAATTGTTATTGATTGATTGATTGATTAGAACTGATCATCCTTCAGACCTTACCTTCACACACATTCTTCAGTTCTTCCAGTCAAACATACACTCGGAAGTACTAGACTCGAGTTTCGCTCTTATTAGAGCTCATCAGTAAAGCATTTCCACCTACTCCTCCGGGGTTTGAACTCCGGACCCATCGCATGGAAGGCATGTTTGTTACCACTGTGCCAACCAGCTGATGCCAATTCCTGTTTGTTCAGGTGTCGTCGCCAGAGATAGTCAGTTTAATTTTGCTCGATAGCAACGAAGGGAGACACAGTTGACTACCTGTTAACTCCAAACGAAAGCCACATTTGATTGAAGATGTGATCTGGTCCTATCATACCGTTTCCTTTCTCCATGGAGAGACTAACGGAAGAAATGAAGTTTACTGGGCACAAAATAACCCACGATATATAAAGTAAACACATCACAGTTATGATCCCAAAATTCTTGTTTGGTTCGGGATGCATTACATGACGTTGCCGGTTCAGACTTATTTTATGCCACAGTAAATGGAACACGTTTACTACAGTTGCTTTCAACGTTGGCCACACAGTATACTGAATCAGTGAACCCAGAGCAAAGATGGAGGGTTTATTTTCAGCAGGATGATGCAGCTGCCCATTATTCGAGGGTCATGAGTGCTTGGTTTAATAAAACATTTCCAAGAAAATTGATTGGCAGAGGTGGACCTAGGCCCTGAACAACCAAATTTCCAGATTGAACAACGCTAGAGGTTTTCTTAAAAAACCGACGGAAGTCTGTTGACTAGATTCCTCAGTTATAATCTTGGAACAAACTGCATGACAAAAGTCCCTTTTGAAGAAGTCAGGAAGGTACTTCTGAGTCCAATAAAGTGAATCGTCAGGTTTTTGAGAGCGAAGGATGGCACTTGATATAACCCTAACGAATGTTCTGTAATTTAGCGACCAAATGACAACCTTTGTTTCGTTTGTAATAATTGCTTAGAATTCATTCACATTTGTTCGTGTTTGCCTTCAAGTGTCAGTCAGCTCATATCCTCCTACCAGGCTTATCCGTAAATTAGGGAAGGTTGACTATGGATAATTCTTTAGTTTTCCCAAAAGGGTTGAATTCTTAGCGTGTTTCCCCATAACTCAGACATCACGCTTTGAGCTAAATCAACTGCACTTTGTCACCGTTCGGTAAGTTCGTCTTACACCGACTGGCAACTGTGACTTGTTTTTCACGTGTAGCGAAGCGATAGCACTGCTCTTCCTACATTTGGATCACCCATTAAATTGAAAGAGGTATATCAAATCCATCAAATGACATGTAAGCTGACGGTCAAGACATCCTCAGGCGTGGGTTCCATCCCCACCGAGGTTACTGAACTTTCTACAATTTAAACAAAAAACTTCAATCTTTCGAACAATTCACTTTCATCATATTTCGTCTCAGTGTTTTCTTTCTTTGTCGTTTTTAATTTCCTGTATTGAAACACCATGATAAAATTTTCACGAAGGGGGAAGCAGCCAATCAAAGGGCTGCCACACAACACACAAATGGGGGAAGCTAGGTCGTAGTGGTGGAATTCGAACACTCGTTCTCCGGGGTGATAATTTGGTGACGTTACCACGGGGGCATCACCGACCAGACAAGTGAGCCATGTAGCTTCTGATGTGCAAATCAGAAAACGCGGGTATGAAGAGAAGCAATCCCCTTGGACTTTCACTTTTCAACTATTCATTGCATTCATTTAGACCAATCATTCACACTTTTTGATCGATTACCTGACAATGGCGGTGTTTCTTGGAGAACTGTGACCAAAACCATAGTGTGGAAGCTAGTAATAATCGAACAGTGGTTGTGAGTTACCTCTGTTTATCCTGCACGACACCACCAACTTGTGTAAATATGATTCACCATCCTTGGTTAACCGGCGCGAACCAGAAGTGACAAGTTCAGACACGAACCGTATGCCAACATTTGTATAAATTGTACTTATGATTCTGTATGAAATAGTGCATGTCAGATTTCACTGACACATCTTTCTTCATAGGGTTGTCTGAGGCTAACGGTGTACTCATATGCCATCAGTTTCAACATTGCTCGATTGTGGTGACTCCTTGCATTCCCAGAGGTCTCGTCGGATACCTTACAGTTCGGCTGCCTTTGATGGCTGTTCCTTACTGGCAATATCGTGTGTTACTAACCATCACCACATCATATTAGTTATCAAAACTCCTTACCGCTTCGCAAAAATAACCTAGAAAATCAGAAAAGAATATAATGTACGTGAATACTGCAACGGGAGATCTTAAAATCTTGTCCTGCAAAAAGGGCAGAGGACATGCCAACACTTGTGAAATCAGAATAACACTGGTTTCATTGATCGAACGTAGAATGCTCTCTGCATTTTCAAAGGAAACTTACGACAACCCCAACGCATTAGGTCACATCAAAATGTTTCAAGCAGCACAGCACTCTATGCATACCCCGTGAATTTTATTCTGATTCGCCCAAAAATATACAGACACAAGCATGAACCTTGTTGGGTCTAATAAACTCAATCCACGGCGAAGTGATTTCGACAGGCTGTCCAATGGACGAGGTACTGATAACAAACACTCCGGATGATATGTTGTGCAGTTCTATTGGATACAGAGGTAGGGTTTGCGGTCAGATTGTGATTTGCTCACCCAATGTTTTTTTCTCTAAAAATGATTGGTACTTTGTCTACTTTGCTAAGGCGGACTCCTTGGATAGCATATGCCAACTTCACAAGGATTGTGAAGTTTCATAAGGATTGTCCTCTGCCTCATCCGAAGGCGCACCTTTTGCATTTGAACAACAGACGACAGTAATGTGTTGACTCATGACTTATGTTCACTCCTTGGGGTTTCATTATTATCTTGATAAATGTGACTGAAACCCAGAAATATATGCATTCCTGCCAGTTGAACAGTTTTTCTGTATACCCACTGGTGTCCGCAGTAGGTTTAGTCAGCCACGAACGAGTAGATGCTCTTACTGACATTTTAGGCCTCGGTTATATTCAAACTGGTTTAGTCCATATGTTTGTCGGGATGTGGCTACTTAATCATGCCACGCTTCTCTTATTAGTAACTGAGATTTGGGTGGATAGTGGAGTTGGAATATGACCCAAGAAATACGACAATATACAAGTCCAGTTATGCTGCTTTCATTAGATACTCCTAACACGCTCCTAATAAAACTGATCTTTTTGCATTCTGGTCGGTATTTACCACTTCTAATACATTACTGAACAAATTGAGCTCAAATGCCCACTGTGTAGAGAATGTGGGCCATTTGGACCACAATAATAACTACACTTTACCCTATCAATCTTTAGTCAGAACCAGCAAACCTTTAGCCACGACCCGTGATCCTTTAGCCAAAACTCGCTATGCTTTAAAAATTTTATATATCCAGTTCACTTTAGGAATTTAATATGAACGAGAACAACCATCATCACAGAACAAGTGAAGTTCAAGTGCTTCGCGTTATCTCTTCAGCTGCGTACAAATGTTTATGAGAAAGTCTGATCAGGACAGTAATAAATCTTTACTGCGAAGTTCAAAGGTCACACTCGAGTTGAACAGGGGAAAGGACGGAATTAGATATGGACGGTGAATGTTTGGATTAGCCCATTCAGTTTTTGAGACAGATACCAGACACTGTTGTTGATGTTGGGTGTGGGTTTCACTCCTTAGGAGAACGTTAATTCCCGAGGTAAATGCATATAAATACATCTCCTACTGTCTCATCCAAATGGGCAGCCAAAAGAGAGCAACCAAAACCGGCGCACAAAGGTGCATGGTTGATCGTTGTCTAAACTGAAACTAAAACAGGGTGATAACCG